AGTTACGTCACTGCATTGAATTCAAAATAAAGACTTGCACCCTATTTGCTACGACGCAGTGGGTAGGTATTACAAAAAAGTAACTACATAATTCGAATTCACTCGGCTGCTGGAATTTCCTATGAAATTTCAGGGATGTATTATAAGAAATACTTACGTGTGAATTAATATTGTTTTGTATGTTTATTTAAATAAACAGAATATTCCACTTATATATATAGTTTCATTTTATATTATTCGTTATTTAATCTTGAAAAACACATAACATATGAGAAATTTTGAGTTAATTTGAAGGCAAATCAATTGGTCATAACATTTAAGATGAAATTACAAAAATAGTTTCTGGGTTGAAAATATACAGTTCTGATTTCCGATGTTCGTAATGTGTTTATAGAACTGTAAGTCGGGTAAAATAAAACTGCATATACATACACTAAATGTAGTTTATATACTTTTTACCATAAAATAATACTTTTGTAAATCAGATCCATTTTAACACAGTTTTTCTTACAATAAAAGACTAAAATATTATTTATAATAAGTAGTCTATTTACAACTGTTACACACATAGATTTATACGTGTTCTGTTCACGTCATTCCAATGTAACTTTCAGTTCGAATGAAAAATCACTATATACATTATCAGCAAATTAATGTTCCCAGTTCTCCACTGCTGGAGTACATAATAGGGAGAACGGGCCAATAACGCACCACCCTGGTGGGTGCCAAAGACTACAGAGGCAAGCCCGGACCAACTATAATAAATTCTTGGTCACCCATTCTATAACTGACCCCTGGGAAAGTTGCTTAGCTTCTACATCGCAGACCGAACGCGTTAACGTAATAATATACAATGCATTATATATTGCTTATTATAAAAGTCTTATTCGATGATTAGATTAGACTGGACAATAAATCGATTTGTCTTACACAATCATATAACCACTGCAATAATAAATTACATCCCATCATTACAAAATTAATATAATATTTAAATAAATAATCGCTGGGCAGTTTAGGAGTTATTCCAATATAAGGGTCAGTGCATATCTGACCGACGCGACGCTTCTCATCGGTCGTCATTCAAATCACACGAAATGACATTCGACCTTACAAACTCAACAGAAGATTCGTCGTTTAGTAAACATATTTCTAAAGACACGCTTTATGGAACTTCTGCCAGATTTACACAGACCCTAAATAGAAAAAGATTATTAAAAAATCCATCAGGACCTCGAGATGGGACTCGAATCCACAACCTTTCGCAATCCGGGCGACTGCTTTAACTATTGACACTCAACTGCACTGACGAATTTTTCAAGCACTTGTTACTTTTCGCTACTATTTTAGTGAATGTATTTTCTTCACTGTTACGGCATCCACTCAAACAGTCGAAAGAAATACTTTTAAAAATATTTTAAACTTTCGATAGAGATGAAAAAATTATCTAATTATTATAATTCATCAATTTCGCATTCACAATGCTATGCCAAGATTTTGTATTAATAGTTTCTCAGAAAATTATCCTAATATATGTTCCCGCAAATATTGATCAGTGAATGAATGAATGATATATTCTTACGAAAGGACAAACTGAATTATATTTTGTCTTAGAGAATCATTATCACTTATAATATGATATCAATATATAATAGGTTAATTTGAATTTTATATTGCCAATACATATGTATTTATTAAAAAAAAAACCTATTTTAATATAGACAGTTATGTATACATTAATATTTTTATAAATATTATTTATGTATACCTGATATATTTCCCGTTTTAATATTTTCATGTGAATTAGTTAGATAAACCAAAGTCAAAACATGTTAAGTATTGCACCATTTTAAATTTGTAGGTGTGATTTTGAATTAGAACATTAATTACAAAATATATTCAAATATGAAATGTAGCGACTAGATAATACAATATTAAAATTATTTTTACTAAATTTCATTAATAAATCAATCCATCTGATACAGCAGACGGTTATTCCACTAACCCCCATTGGAAGTCCCCATCAATGGGGATTTATGAACTTTTTGTCCACTGATCCCCATTGATGCCTCATGATGGGGATTTGTGGAAAAAAGTTGTTGATAAAGTTCACAAATCCCCATTATCTTAGAAATGAAATACAAGAACAAACAAAACAGAATTTCTAGCCTCGTTATTGACATTACATGTACAAATAGAGAGAGCATTAATTAGGCCATCACCACAATGATATTTGATAATTATTCACCCATCATTCCGCGTTGGGACCGCGTGGTATAAAAACCCGTTCTCCCTGCGTGATTATATCCATAGGGAATACCTATGCACCAGCAATTGGGGCATTAATGCGCTAACGAAGACGATGAAAAAAGTGTTTATTATTATTAATCCGTCCGAATCCGGACATTCGATAAATCGACGACCAACCAATGTAAATGAGCGACAGAATGAGGAAGTATTAAAAAAAAAGAAAACACTAAAAAGCACTTCACTAGATGGCGACTCGGTTGTCATGGAGAAATCAAGAAAGTACCATCGCGACATCTAGTTTGATTTCGGGAACTATTTCTTTTTTAAATACTTCCACATTTACTGATCGTAGGCTTAAAATGCGAATTCGAATTTACTCAGGTAACCGAATTTACTTCAAAAACGAATTCGCTAAGTGTACAAATTCTATCGATTTCATTTTTTTGTATAATAATATAAAACAAGATTGATTGATTCATACGTGTCTGAGATATTCTATTCCTATGTCATTTCGAAACACACTTGACTTATGCCACGAAATGATAATACCAATTCAATGTTAAGCTGATGTTGCTTTCGAAGGTGAATTCGAATTCTGGTTCGGATTTTTACAGAATCGCTCTGCTGATCATGAAAATTCTTCACTAACGGGAAGCTCAATCATACCAAGGTGACAGGCTATAATATACGCCGGCAGAGTCACGAGAAAATAGCTAGTAAAATATCAAACGTCGGCCTATCAACGTCCTTCCTGCTAAGGCATAAGGCAGAGCTGTTCTACAGATACAATCACACAGATACTAGGCCCAATGCGAATTGAAAAATAAATACACACACACGTCAAACTTATAACACCTCATTTTTGCGTCAGGGGTTAAAGAACAAATCTTTTAATTGCTCAGTCTACAACTGCACTCTGACTATAGGTCCATGGTCGCCATCTTGTAATCCGTGCACTCTTCTTGTGTGGGCACGCACTTTATTAGGTTTTTCAAATCTGTGCTCGCAAACTGGACACAGGTAACCATACTTGCGGCCTGTGTGTGCGTTATGTTTATGTATCTGAAGGAACTTGCGGGATTTCAATTTCTTCGGGCATAAGTCGCACTATGTAAATAATAAATAAATATAAAAAAAAAATCAGAAATCTTATGAATACAAGTAGACAAGCTTTTTTTTAATAGAACCGACTTGAAACTTTGAATAGTGAGAAAATAATACTTATCTTAAAAGAGACTTCATTATTCAATAAACTGTTATTGAAGTCGGGATGTTTTCAGTAGATTATTATAAGACTTCAAAAACTGTTTCTTGAACAATGAAGTTGCTTTAAGGATAAGTAGGTATTATTTCTTACTTTTTAAAGTTTGAAGACTCCTACTTTTTTGAAGTCGGTTAAAAAATAAAACAATTACACGTTAGCTGGCCGTCTCAGCATAATAACATCATTAAGTCGATTGTAAGCGAACCAGCGGAGCAGTTGGTACGCCACGAAGTTGTAAATCAGCAAATGAACACTTTAACTATACTATGGACCTCCGTAGCGAGTGGTTCGCACACCGGATTCAAGGTGTCTCCACCTCTGAGGTCCCGGGTTCGATTTCCGGTCGGATCAATGTAGAAAATGGACTTTTCTATACTTGGGTCTGGATTAAGTGGCACCCTCGTTGTGTCAGATACTCCACAATACGGGGGCATTAGCCACTCATATTTAGTTTGTATTTGTTTATTGTACCTATAGTTCTACAATAAACAAATAAATAGAACCAAAATATAGCTTATAAAAGTAATAGACATGTCTATTTAAAAATATATTGAACACCAGAGCCATCTTTTGACATCGGACTAAACTATTCGGCATATTAATAAAATCCATATAATGAGGGCTAACTGGATTGAATTTGCCACTAGAGGCGCTAGTGTAGCGTGAGGTTTTCAAAATGTCTTACTTTGTCGGTGAACTACGTGTTTCTTTTCAAATTAACGCATTTTTCGCTTATTTTGGGGTACCTGAGATTCATTAAAGCCATTATGGATTACGGGTCAATGAATGTTAGCAATTTAAAAACAGAGCTAAGAATGGATGAAAGAACGGCTAAATTGATGGTTAGTGTTTATTGGGCATGTTAGATATCTATACTAATATTAAAAAGTGGAATGATTTTGTTTGATTCTTTGCATCGAATAGGCTCCAACATTATAACCTTAGAGTAGCTACATCATACGGGGTTGACATAGGCTACAATTTACGGGTGCAAAGTCGTGGGAAAACAGCTAGTTTTTAATAAAATGATATTTATAATTTACCATTAATTTTATACATAATATATATACATATAAATTTTGACAGGACCTCTCGCGACTGTCGCGCCATCTAGTGTGCGATAAAACGGTAGACCTTATAATACGTAATGTGAGGAGTATTACTCACTTGGAAGTTTTTCTCAGGCAGATGTATGGCTATGTGTTGAACTAGATTGGATCGACGATGGAACGTTGCCCCGCAGTGGTCGCACACGTACGGACGCTCTCCGGTGTGACGTCGCTCATGGATCTGTTATTATGACTTTATTTTTGTTTGTCCATCGGGTAGATCATTGAAATATATTAAACACGTTTTATTTTTTCGGGTAATAATGAAATTACTTGAATAATGAAAGTAGTGTATATTTTGCCCGAAATCGTAATTTCGAAACAAAATTTCGAAACGCTAGTATGTCGTTTCTAAATTAAGTTCGTGTACAGAGTACGGTCCTTTGTTCTTAGTATTATGATATCGTTTAAAGTAGATGATACGTATCGGTACACATAGAACTCTAATACTTTCTTTTTCATCTGCACTACGAATGTAGTCTAATAATATTATAAAAAGTAATTCATTCCTTCAACATGATAAATCTTTGATAGATCTTTGGATCTATCATATTTATTTGAATATTTTTTTATCTATAATAAGCTACAACATCCGCGAATAACTGTCGACCGCGACCGCGAATATCGTTTAAGCTCCTATAATCTGCCATCAAGACGCATATATCAGTTGCACAAAATTACAACAAATTTTCAAATTTAAAACGTTCATTAGAGTAAAAGGTCATAAGAGACTATAATATTTATAGGTTAAGATACTATTATATTATATCTTAAGATAAATATCGCTCGCCATATATATCAATGACCTAACAACACACGGGGTAAGATAAATATATTAAGTATCTTATGATAGTGATACAGAAATATATATTTCATAAGTTATCTTAACCATGTATGATAGCTTAAGATTTTAAAATATGTTATCTTAATATAATAAGCGTCTTAATCGTCTGTTACGTCCTTAATGAATGTTTATGCAATTGGGTGATAGGCTTAAATTCGCAGGGCAACGGACAAACAGCTTGTAATAATAATAGTTACCGTGAGTGCCTCCTTGGTGGCGGAGCTATATTCACAGTATGCGCACTTATGTATGCGACCGAGGCCATGACGAGCTCTCTTGTGCTCCTGCAACTGGTTGTTGTTGCGACAACGTTTCCCACATGTCTGATATCAATCATAAATGTATTAGAATAGCGAACATGCAACTTTCGCCCTCATCGTCATCATCATCAGCCCTACATGTGGCAGGGGCTCAGGCCTTCCTTATGGATGGTTAAGGAGGATGGGCCATGACCCTCCACATGGGCCCAATGCGGATTGGAGGGTATTAACGACTGCAACTGTAGCCGGGACCAACGGCTTAACGTGCCTTCCGAAGCACGGACTTTCACCCTATATGTTTAAAAATAATATTGATTACAGAACATTTATCTATACTAGCCTTTCCCAAAGTGCGCAATAACACCCACTTATGAATTGCAGGTCTAAACAGGAGAGCGGTAAGAGACCCATAAAAACACAGAGGCGTTGTGTAGAGGCTTAAGAAGACTTAACAAGAGACTTGTGTACTACCACTATGCTCCAATCTCAAGTTTTACTCTTGTTTAAAATGAATGTTTAACCTCTGCTAATATAGCTCACAATAATTAATTCAATTTGAAGTAATAGTGGTTTTAAGTATGAGAAAAAATGGGGGCACTAAAATATAATTTATTCTCAAAGTGGGTAGTAGACGAAATAAGTTGGGAACCAATGACCTATACTAATTAAAAAAATACTCACTTCACAGACACAGTAGTTAGTGTGGAATCTGAGGTGAGCTTTGTATGTGGCCTTCATTCTAAACTCTTTTTGACAAATCGGACATTTGTAGGACGATGCATTTGGCAGTGTGGTACGTTTCCTTTTTACTCTTGGTTGTTTCTAAGAAAAACAAAACCTTTATGTTCTTAACATTGTACACATATTTGTACCCCTATAAAGCTCTGCGTCCATTTTTCTATATGTTATTTATTAAGTTAAATGTATTTGTCTCGATTATGGTTTCTCTATTATCTCATGGGCTTACAAAATTACTTTTGGAACAAATGATAATTTGAATAATCAAGAATGTATAAAAATTTATATAAACCCGTCAAAAGATTGTTAGCATTCAACATTTTAAAGATATTTGCAACAAAACTTGCCTTAGATAATTTGAATTACCATCAAATTAACAATATTATCCATTCAATAGTTTCAAATAATGTCACTATCGCAATTGCTATCCCAAGTTACATTGCAGCATGAGCTTTGTGAATGTCTTTAATATGATCAATTGAAAGGGATTACAATAGATTTGAAAATTATACAATTAGTCCCCTGATCTGAATACTTTTGTCACTACGAGAAATACTTACATCATTATCTTTAGGATCATATTCTATCTTCACTATATTGGATTCTTTGATATCTTCGTATGATTCATTGTCAAAGTCATCATTTTCAAAACTACAGTCATTCTGATATTCATCATGTTCGAAATCTGCAAATGCATCGAGGGTATCATTGCTCTCATCTTTTACTTTAAGTTTCTGGTTTTTAATTTCCTTCTTGCGTATTTTATTTTTCTTCTTTGGTTTTCCTGTTATAGCCATATCTAATAAGGTTTTCTCAGCTTTGCGACTACAACGTCTGAATTGTAATGCCGTCTTCAAACTATATAAGCAGTTCTTACACATCTTTTGTGATAGACCATCATCTATTTTTATCTAAAACATGAACAAAAATTAAAGAAAGATGAATGAAAAAAGAAATCTTAATTATTACTTTACTAATATTATAAAGAGGAAAAATTTGATTGTTTGAAACTACTAGATCGATTTTGAATTTTTTTTACCTACACTAAGTTCCCTCATACACATCCTGCACACTGCAGAAAACAGTAAGATAAGTTATATGTTGATATATGTAGTTCATTTGTCATATATGGGTTCATATATTTTACCTGATACCCAACATACAATACTTTTGAAATACTAGAATAATTAATCTATACTAATATTATGAAGCTGAAGAGTTTGTTTGTTTGTTTGCATGCACTAATCTCAGGAACTACTGGATTGAATTGAAAATTCTTTTTGTGTTGAATAGACTATTTATCGAGGAAGGCTTTAAGCTATATAATATTACGCTGCAACTATTAGGAGCAAAGAAATAATGGAAAACGCGGACAAAGTCACATTTGAACTTATAAAATAGTATCAATGGAAAATGCTTAAAGATCCACTTTGTGCTGGCACTCTGAGATGGGACTCGAACCCATGACCTTACGCAATCCTAGCAATTGCTCTAACTACTGAGCTACCCAGGACATAACAGGACTGACGAATCTTTTAAGCACTTGTTACTTTTTGCAGGGGGGAGGGATTCGACTAAACCCCTGGTACACTTGTCTGCTTTCGAAAATGCGTAGTTTTAAAGATATAAATATTAGAAAAAAAAGGTGTTGTAATTCTAATATATAAATAATTATAAAGAAAATATTTATTTATATATTAGATCATGATCTCTCACTGAATCCTTAATCAATAATTATTAAAAATTATATAGAAACTCTATTTAAAGGGATTTGAAGTAAAACAATTTTTATTAAATATTATTTTATTAAAATATTTTATGCATTTTAATAACTCCTCAAATGGATCTTTATACTATCCTAACCCACTATTTTAGTAGCAGCTTGTTTCATATGGTCATTTGTTTATCATAGTTCTAACCTAATCCATCCTATTATTCTGGTAATCACTCATTTCTGATACTGTATATTTTTAAATAAACAATTATTTTTTTTTTAAGTAACAAATAGTAAGTTTCAAATATTTAAGTTTATTTTTTTTTAATGTGCACATTATTATTAATTTAATTTTTTTTCAAGCCATCAGACATATTAAAACACAAGACATAACATCTATTAGTAATATCAACTAACCAACCTTCGAAATGTAATAAATCAGTTTTCGATTTATTATTTGAACAAAACTATAAGTTTCTGCATTTTGTGTTATAAAATGCAAGTTATTAAAGTGGAGACAGCTCAAGAGACGGGCAGATGACTTATGTTGAACAGCGGGGACTCTATGGATAAGAACAGCCAGAAACAAAGAAGAATGGAAAAAGTTAGAGGAGGTCTATGTGTCAGCAGGACACATTGATGAATGATGAGCAAATTTCTGTGTAAATTGTAAATTGCAAACTACAGTAATAAATAAACTACAGTAATACTATCAGTAATAAAGGCTTGATTATTATTATTATAAGTTTGTGAGATTTAATATTTTGGTAATATGTTCAAAAAACTATTATCTTTCTAATAGTTTCTAAACAGCGAACACGAAATCATGGGTCATTAATCTAAACCTGAGCCCAAGTCGTAAACAATTTATATTTAAATTGTTTATATGGTAATACCCTTATATTTTGAGGATGTTTATTATATATTTTCATTGGCATCATCTTACAATTATTTGGCATAATGCTTTTTTCACTAAGGTATGATTAATTTGGTTGGATCATATCTATGTTCGACATCCTAAGTTATTTGTATTTTTGTCCAAAGAAAGTCTTTATGTTTCATTGGATTTTTTTTGTAGAATGATTGTAAACAGCCCCATCAAAACAAAGCTAGAAAATAGTAATTTAAATAATTAACAAGTGAATTTATAATCCTACCGAAAGAACAATCAAAATATTGTACGAAAACTTACCTCTAAACCAGTAACGACATTTAACTCGTGAGACTTCTTTTTCTCTGCTTCCTTACTAGGGAATATTGGTTCCAAATCTTCTGTGCTCAGACATGTTCTGCAGCAGTCACCTATAGAGTCGCCAGGAGTTTTCAAAGGCTCGACTTTTACGGCTTTGATTTTATGTAGATCTTTTTGTTTCGCGGCGATTCTACTTTTTGTTGTCATACGATTTAGTAATAGTACGGCCAGCATTTTTACAGCAACTCAAGTAACATATCAGGTTTATTATTTCCCTAGATGATTAAAAGAAATTTAAATTATTTAGAGCGCGTATAACACTGCAAAAAAAGAAAACTTAAAATTCGCACAATCGCCCATTTGTTTGACAATTTGAATTTGTCTAGTAGTGTTGAGCCTAGCGATGGACGTTATTCGCGATAGACAGTTATTCAACTAGTGTTTTGCCTGAACCGCGATCACCAATGATACAATAACTATCTATTTTCCACAACGCTTTAAAGTAAATTTGAATTCACTCTTAAATAAATCACGTAAGGTTGATGATTGGGCAACTCGCTTTACAATAACCGCGATAATCATGAAGCGGCGATCACAGTTCGTAACGATATATAGACGTCTTTATGAGATTCACACTATACATTGATGATCATTAACTGCAATTTTAATAACAGTATTGAGTGTAATGCGTAATGTTAAGCATTTAAATAATAAAGATCGCAAAATATGCAACCTGTTATGTGTGAATAAAACAACAACATAATGTCAGTATACGTGTGAATGAAATAGGTATATGATTGTACGTTCCGCATTGCTCCGCTTTCGGAGTGATCAAGTAACCGACCCAAAAGTGAGCTTGATTGCGTTTGATAAGAGTAAAATTGTAACGTAGAAATAACTAGTTATCAAAAATAAATAGTTTTGATATCAGTGATTGGCGATCTGTTAGCGGTTACGGTACGTGATTTAAAAAATTGATAGACTCATCGTTTGTTGAGTCGTGAGCAGCACTGTGATAATCCAATATTCAATTACCTCGTAGAGTAGTATTTTGTAATCACAATGAGAAAGTATTTAAAAAAAACGAAAGCACTAAAATAGCACCTCCACTAGATGACGGCTCTAGCAAAAGTTGATTTTTGCAGGATACGAATAGACCTAAGACCGTCATTTCCGTTCCTTTTAACTAACATATAAAAAAACTGAGATTTGAAAGTCTGAAACTTAGATATCAATACAAATACGAAAAAGTACAAATAGAATATGAGTTGTTTATTGAGTTTTCAAAACTAATTTACATTTAAACATGAAAATGAAATGAAACCGGAAGGGTTGTCATGCAGAAATCAAGAACGTACCGTAGCGACATCTAGTTAGGTTTCGGGAACTAATGCTTTTTTTTAAATGCTTCCTCATTCACATATCTATACCATGGACGAAAAAAACAACTAATAAAACTATACCATGGACGAATCTAGGAGGGTAGGCATAAATGTTTGTTTGCATGGAATAGGCTCCAAAACATTTAAAAACTACGCCTATTTTTATATTTCTGTTACCTACATCGTGGGTGGGTGGGAAACATGCTATAATTTACAACGAGCAAATTCGCGTAAAAACAGCTAGTTAGTAATCAAGTTATAATAAATTGTGACCATTCTATGTGAAAGCCAGAGATACAAAAACTTTAAACCAACCCTTGATTACATACTCATAAAAGTACCTATTTAAAGTGGCTTTTTATTTCTGTTGTAGATTTTATCACGTTTCACCAACAAAATATGGAATTAGACTATTCAGAAAGAGCGTTAAAGTATGAGTACTGAGATGCTATAAAGGTAGTTTTGTTATGTGCATCAGCCATTTTGTATTACAAGCAAAAACACAATTTAATATCATGGATTGGCATGTTGTCACAGAAGTATATCGATTTTGCACTTTCAGTATGGTTGGAAAAATATTTGCACAGAGAACCGAACATGAGTGTGCAAGGTTGAATGTTATATTATATATTTTCAATCCTGAAGTACGCCGACCAACGACATAGGTATACCCCAACCCTAACTCAAATAAAGTTACGGTCACAGATCACTAAATATATAGCAACTATAGTGATGTGATTGTGATGTAGTAGTGAAATGACTGGCTGATGTAAGCGCCACATTATAATTTAAATATCTCTTAAAGTAGCATTGAAGTATATAGGTATATAATGAGCCAGGTATTAATTTCAAAATCCAAGAGGGTGGCGTTGCTGGACACACTCAATATGCACCTATATAAAAAAAAACATTAAAATATTTAAATAAGAATTTTATTAAAATTTTCTAGGACTTATAACTAATTACAATTTATTTGTGCGCGAAACATACAATTTATAGGAAACTATGCTTTGGTAAAAATATTATCACAAAGTCATTCATGTAAGTATACTAAAGTGTTGAATTTTATTATATCGATAGTATAATCGTATGGCTAAAATTCAAATATAAATAACCCTATCGGTAAAAATCTATTGATGAATACTCTTTTTTTAATAACGCAGGAAAAATACACCTGCCTTAAAACAGAGCTCGCAACAACCCTATCCTGAAAAGAACAGATTTAAGCGTGGTTAGCCTGCCTGGAAAAACACTCGTTACGGGGGAGGATTCGAAATCCAGGATGGAGCCAGAGTCCGTCAGCTTCCATCTAAGATAAGATCATTACTAAAGCCCTCGTTTTATGGAGTATCTAAATACACACAACAGACTCTAGACAAGACGATATATTCTATATTTCTACATTGGCTTTAAAGATGGCTGTACCTTAAAACTGGGTCATACATGACAGTCGTTCTTGTTTTATCGGGTTGAAAGTAGAATAGATTTATCCCAGCGTTAATAGTAGGTAGAACATGACATATTGATCTAATAACGAAATAAATGTCCTTTTGTAATCTTTTATGCGATGGAAGTTTTTAATTTTTATTGGACATTCATGTATGAAATAAAACAAAGTGAAAAGCCACCCTAGATGAGTTTCTTGCCAGTTCTTCTCAGTACAAAGACCTTAGATTTGTAGCTGTGATAATATAACAAATGTATATTTTATGATTTATGAAACTATAATTCTTTTCTTCTCTTTATAAATAGTAATTAATATACATAACAAAAATTAAAATACTTTGTGATTTTAATTCAACTATATAAATATAATAGAATTAAACACAAATTGAAAAGTCCACTTTCTGTTATCAATTTTGAACTTTACTTATAACAAATTAAGGTTAAAAAGCTTTACGCTCAATGGACCGATTAGCGTATAAGTGCGAAAAACTGTAACCCCTAACGAACACATTTAGCTGAATTTCCTTTAAAATAAAAAAAAAAAACAGTAAGCACGAGTCTTCTAGTAGAACTAGTATTTAATAAAATTCAAAGCCACTTTAATATTTTAAAAATAAAAATTCCACTTTATAGTTTTATACGAAAACAAAAACGGAACAAACATTACCTACATTACATATCATATTTTTTGTAGCTTTTTATGTTTACGCAGATATTCTGCCAATGTTCCGTAGGTGATGGTGACTCGTTAAATACGACATAAAAATTGTGACTAGGAAAATAACGGCATTTTTATACATAAATACCTATTGAGTAACCTTTAATCTAATATTTACAATTTGATCGCTATATAAATTACAATGCAAATAGGACTGTCGACATACACTTTGAAACCACAACAAACAGTTGAGTAACAGAAAATAGCCTAGATTTTAGGACGTTGTTTTTGTACCATAATATTAAGAGTCCTCACTTGATTTGAACACCATGTAAACAATGTCAGTGAAGTGATTTCGTCATCATTGAGATCCCAAACCAGGTATGAGTTTTTTATAACTTTTCGCCGTTTGCTCTTCAAACAAACTCTTCAGAAATATTACCTGTAAAACACAACTTTTTTAGAATCTATCATCGTATTATTAAATAAAGAAGGCAATAAACGATGGTGCTTGACCAACAAAAACATAGTAGCCCTTAAATAGTTTATTAAAAGGCACATATAGGATTATGAAATTTTGAGTAATTGAATAATAATAACTAATTGATGTTTCTTAAAAATATTATAATAATATAATAAAACAACTTTTAAACGGTTCCCAACTAAACCCAGTTGCTTAAACACCCAATAAGGTTTAATTACAACTTTATGCTCCAATGAATGTTTGTAAATTAGATTTTGTTTTTTATCCTGTATGTCGTTTAAAACTTATGGCAATTATAATGAACGTTTGTCGTAACTAGTGTTGCCAGACGTCCTGTATTTCAGGTATAAATTCAAATGTCCCGCCAGGACAGACTATCCCGTATTTCAATTCGATTTCACAAAACACATAAACATTGCTTAGATTCAAAGATGTACTTAATGGTAATATATTCAAGAACTGATAGGTGGCGAAACCGGTGTGCAGCTGCAATGACTAAGGAGGACGTCATTGACGGAAAAACATTAGATTTTTTAGAGATTTATTTCTTTCTTTTGGTTATTATTATGTGGGAAAATCAAATTTAAACTCTAACAGTCTCACATAATTCGGTGTGTACTAATATTTTACTCACTTGAGTAATTCCAACTGCCAACATCAAAACGATCTGACACATGGACCAGCTCATCACCCTGGAAACATAATTATTTAAAATAAAAACATTAAGGATGAATGGAGAATTGAATACCAAATATAACATTTTTGATTACCAATGATATACTAGCAGTTAACAATATTCCGTTTCGTATGACATCGCCTATAACTACCAATCGTGTTTAGCGACGTAACTACGAGGGGAGTTCAATGTATTCTAGGTATAAGCATGAAAAAATAAGCGGAAAATTCTGAATAAGATTTATTTTTCAATATAGTCCCCTAACATTTCAATACACTTATTTGTTCGGGAAAGTAACTTTTCGATTCCCACTAAAAATTTTTTTTGTGTACTCGTTTAGCAAGAATCCCATAACACTGAGGCCATGAGCTTTCCTGCGTACAGGGTGACTTTGAACTTCTTCGGTGGGTCTGTTCCTTTTGTATGCCACTGCATAGACTCTTGCTTGCTCTCTGGGTGATAGTGATGAACCCACGTTTCATCACCATGACCCAGAGCCCTTAGGTCTAGGGGCTTACCGAAGATACAAAGGACATACATTAAATCAGGCACTAAAACAAAAGAGAGTCGAAAGATCAAAACAGCTGTTACTTCGATACGCGGACGAAAAACAAGGAAAAATTCTCTTTACTGATGAAAAAAAATTAGTATCGAGGAGCACTACAACAAACAAAATGATCGAGCGTATGCATATAGTTTTAAAGAAGCGTCTGAGGTAGTGGCCAAAGTTCAGCGGGGCCATCATCCAGCTTACGTCATGGTTTGGTGGGGTGTCTCCTACCAAGGGGTTACAAAACTCTGTTTTTGCGAAAAAGGTAAAGTGTATCAAGCAAGATACCGTGTTAGAAGCGGTAGTTAAACCTCTCAACGACACCTTTTTCAAAAAGGAATTGTGGACATTCCAACAGGTTTCAGCCCCGGGTCATAAGGCGCGCACTACCCACATTTGGCTTATGCAGAATGTTCCAGACTTCATTAAGGCCTAAATGATTGATCTTCGGCTAGTCTGGACTTAAATCCTTTGAACTATGAACTGTGTTAGAGGACATGGCCTGCTCTAAGCGTCGCCCAAATATTGAGGCACTGAAGAAATCTTTGGGGCAGCAATGACCAAGATTCCAATGGAAACCGTTTGTAAATCCTTCGACGAATGACCCGACCGTTTAAAAGCGTGCGTTAAAGCTAAGTGTGGACACTTTGAATAACTAGTTTAGTTAACATATCTTTTTCACTCTACATAATCACATATAAAACTTTTAAATAAAATTCTTTTTTAGAAATTATCTATATTAATATTATTTTTCTATATTATTATTATTCTTTATTATTATTATATATTATTATTATTCTATATTATTATTAGTCTATATTATTATATTTTCTTTGTAACAGAACTTATGGCTAGACATATGTTTGGTTTTAATATTGAGCTACTATGAAAGTACATCTGTTTATAACATCTTTGCTTATAACGTCCTCCGCTTTTAACGGCGGTATTTCACACAATTTAAAAACAAATCGAAGTGAATAGCTATAGAAACTATGTCCGGCTTGCGCACGGTCCGTTGTCTGTTCATCGCCGACTGATGCAACTGTTAATTTACTACCAAGTGAGTACCAAAACGAGGAAACGATTAAGTATATGAATATATAAATAAATTTTTTATTCTAATGTTTCTTATTGACTGCTGGTCCCCTTCATATGTATCAATAAATACATTATGTATATGGTTATTAAAAAATTAATAATAAAAAATGTGTTTAATACAACTACTGGTTAGTACGAAATCTTTATATATGTTGAAAATAAAAGTGTATAAGTAAAAATAACATTAAAAGCTCACTTAGCACACATCTCCTCAGCCCTGTTTCTGTCGCGCGCCTCGTGTGCTGAGTGCAATTCCTGCAGACGACGAGCAGCCGATACATTGTCCCGCACGCGGGTGACGGACTCGGAAATGTCGCGCATACGCATCATATATGTCTCCGCCGAATTGCCTAGTAACGAAATCAACATAAACGTATAACATATTTACCTACTTATAGTACAACTTGTTAGAAACATTCTGTCTTGCATGTAACTCACGCTCGTTTGCTATTGGTTGACGTGTGTATAAACGACGGAAGGTGGAAATCTTGCTAATACTTGCATAAAATACAAAAACAGGAGTATCTTTTACAAAATGTTTAATGTGACAGATAAATTTTATCGGCCTCCGTTGTTATTTAAAAAAGTGTCAAAATTCAAAGAAAAATAAATTAACAACGGAGGCGGCATACGTTGCTGTCGTCTACAGTGTGCATGTCGCAGCGAACTGGATAAAATAGCCATTCAAATGGGCGGCTAGCCATTCAATTGCGCGTCTAGTTTTCTAGTTAAATAATTTCTGTATAATTGTTGACTAGCCATATTTATTTAGTTTTGTTATCTATTAAAAAATATATAGAAAAATGGCACTGTGGCAGTCCGAATCGCAGTACATCATGTCATTGTATAATTGTATTAGTATTAAAAATTTATGATGAAAGTTCAAGCTTAACCCACTTGCGTAATATTTTTTTTTTATTTTACTTTATTTTTTTTTTTAATTTTTTATTTCGACTTACAAAACTGATTATAATCAAAAATATAAACAATACAACTTTCACAAAAAAGAAACTGGATTGTAACCTTCTAGATGTAAGTACAACATGCATTTTAAAAATTAAACAATTTTTTCACAGAAGTGACTACAGCCGAAACATAAAATAATTTAAACTACAAAATATTAGTAAAGTTATCATGCTTTTCTCAAGAACCAAAAACAGATCTTAAGCTCTGCCTAGCAGAAACAATAGACCCGTTGAATATGTCGAAATTAAATCTTATTGATTCATAGCTAGAACACATGCGATATAGCGGTGAATGCTGACCGAGACGAGTTCTACGTAATGGGTGTGAATGTTAGCTTCCTGTATTGGATCATACACAACATTAACAACCAATTAAGTATTGATTACAAATCATAACTAGGAGTTTTTGAGTTTTAAATAAAATTACATACTACAATATTTATTTGGCTACGACATGCACATCATGTTAAATGCAGGATTTTGCTGATGCTACATATAGCAGATGGAAAGAAATCACAAATACTTTAAATGGGGATATTCTTTTATCGTTTATACTTTGGATCAGTCTATTTGAAAATAAGGGGTGGCTAACATGATGATGCCACACAGTCAAACAGAATATAATTTTCTCAAAAGAGAAAGAAATAGAAATTTTCTTTAGAAAATAGCATTTCAATACTAGTTCATAAGCAAGTAGTATGGACTCACATTCATGTTAGTATAAAGATTGCAAAAAATATTTTTTACCAAAACAGCTAAATAGTTAAATGTGCCCTGAGTATAATTATTAATCAGTTTATTAATTGTGAAATTGACTCTTACCAAACTCCATTTCCTTGTCATCATCATAATCTTTTTCTTGATTATTCTCTAGTTCTATCATCAGATCAAAAAATACCTAAAATTTTAAAAATAATTAAATCTAATTCAATGGTAAACTAATAATAAAATATTTAATATAAAAACACATTTTTGAAATATGTATTCTAGCTGACAGTAAAATATACATACTGTCTTTTGACTGAAAGTGCTAAATGTGTTGTCGAAACAGAATCTGTAGTCACCGTGGAGGGCTGCAGTGTGTCGGTGAGCATTTTCAGGCTTCTTGTAATCGGCAACAATAACCCTTCCTACAGGGTCCGATAATTGGAAGGAAATGTCCAGTTCTCCATGCGTAGCGTCTATCACCTGTGAAGGGCCCGATTTAATGGGGGAATTGGGAAATTGTCCAGAGAAGAGAAATATTGGGGGCAGCAAAATAAAGGGCACTGGGCGAATAGTTTAGTTAGACTAACTAGCTAGATTGGGCCTTGAATAAGTACAATAGCTACGTTGCGACCACCAAAGTTATTGATAAAATTAGAAAAGCAAAGTAAACAAATAAAATGTACCTGATATTCCAAGTCAATAACTTCGTTAGGCAATACATTCTGATAAAAACAATCTGTCTTCCCAGCTTGTACAGTAAAGGTAACATCTTTTTCGTACGCAAATACGTAACTAAAAATAGTTAGCAAAAAGAAGTAGCGCATTTTGTTTTTTTAATAGGTTACTTTTATAAGATCGTATTATGAATGACTGCACTGAATCACAAACTGATGTTAATTAAAACAGGCAGAATATGTTGGTGTTTTTAAAAAAGAGTAAAACGAAAAGAAACTTTCTTTTGGAAGAAGAAGCCGGCGAACTTTCTTGTTCTTCTTTTTAATTATTGGCGTTGCCCTTGTGGATTTCGCCGAATCCAGTGTTTTGCTCAGTTTATATCTTCTTCTTTTTAATTTGTGGCGTTGTTTTTGTGGATATTGCCTCCAATGTTGCGCTCACTTTATGTCATAAATTGTAGACTTTGCTTTTTGTATGTTGTGTTGTGTAATAAATAACAGATTATATTTTTTTGAATCAATGAGGAGTAAATGTGTTCTGTGACCAACAACAATTGTGATCGAGGTTCATCGCCATCTTTCATTCATTTCATTTTCATTTTACATGTAAAAATTTATTTATTTACTTGACATTGGCAGAATTGTGCGAAATGCGCAGATAAGCCATTAATTTAAAAAGAAGAAGAAGAAGACATTTTGACAGCTGGAGAAAACGATATGAATTTATGCTTTCGTTCAGAAACGAAATCAGTTCAAGTTTTAGTTAGCTTTTAGAACAGAAAGAAGGTAGCAAATTTTACAGATTTGATATAAAACAATTTATTTTGGCGGCCATTAATTCAAGGAGAATTCAAGGTAGAACAAATGAGCTTCCAAGAATCAACTTTTGTTTAAAAACCTTACTGTACTCAACTGTCAAAAATAAAATGGCAAAACTGTTTAGTTTAGCCCTTTCTTTTTGATGACAGTCAGACAGCCAAATGGTTATGTTTTGTACCTTATAAACAACTTATAGGAATAAACATGAAATAGTGATTTCAATAATAATAAAAAATGGCCCAGTCTAATGCTACTGGATCATCGGGGGTTGTAAGGAACAGCGCACTGTCGTTTGTAGAAGAAGCAGCGCCTGCGCAAGGCAGCTGTCAAGAAGATATAGCACACTGTTCAAAAGAGCCAGTTGGTCAAGGTAAACATATAGAACTCGAATTCGTTGACACAATGTTTAACACTAGATCTGCACTAGCGATGACTTTTCGGCTGGTCATCGGATGGGTGACCAAAAATCTAATCTTAGGCTGTGTTCTACTACCATCGTACAATTGATAAAGCTCAACCTTTGAATGTTTAACCAGAGTTCACAAGTGGCAACATAAAAGTGAGGCATTGCCCTAGTTCCACAATCAATTGTACAACACATAATTTTCACTAAAATATCAGTGAAAAAAATGCCTTCCTGCATCTTAAGATGCACTAATTATGTTTTTAGTGATAGAAACAAAAAAGTCTCATTTCATAGGTTTTACAGGTTCTACTTAAGCAAGTGGAGAATTAAATAGTGGTGCTAGTTCAAAATTAATAATTGTGATAATCTTACAGATAGAATGGTGCCAGCAGGACTGAAAGCTTTATGTGAAGCATATTCTGGTCTATATCCAGACCAGCCTAATCCCCTGCAAGTGACTACCAGACTTAAATATTGGTTTGTAATTATATACAGTATATGATAAATAACAGAAGCAACTTAAAAGTCACAGGCACCAACCGTTTATTACATATGGTAATTTAATTCTTAAGATTACTAAATATTACAGAAGCAACTCAAAACTCACAGGCACCAACCGTTTATTACATAAAGTAATTTAATTCTTAAGATTACTAAATATAACAGAAGCAACTCAAAACACACAGGCACCAACCGTTTATTACATATGGTAATTTAATTCTTAAGATTACTAAATATAACAGAAGCAACTCAAAACTCACAGGCACCAACCGTTTATTACATATGGTAATTTAATTCTTCAGATTACTAAATCCTCAAAGATGTTATTGACACATAAAATTTCAAAGTAAAAATAAAAAGTAACAATTTTTTTTGTCAATTTTTATGTAAGTAATAATTTATTGAACAGTGGGTGGGGATCAAAATCATCTTATGTAATAAATGGATGATCCTTTAGTAATTTACAATCCTAAATAATTTATTTATTGCAGGTTAGGTGGACATGATCCCTTGGACTACATTAGCATGTACTGGAACCCTGGCAAACCAGTGGAAAATATACCAGCACATTGGCATTATGTAAGGTGTGTTTTATGTACAGCAAAAAAAATATATGATCATTGCAAAAATTCTTAAAGTTTAGTATCATGAATAGAACATGTAATTTTTTTAAATTCCATTAATAATATTAAAATTGATAGTAAATATTGTCACATGGACTTTATTTTATTTCTATATATATATCAGTATTTGTTCCTTTGTACAAATGTGATTGTTGTAAAGCACACGCAATCAAATACTTGATGTGAAGTTCACAATGGTAATGATTATAGGCAGTTACCCTTATTGCATTGTAGGTATTATTTCAAGAACAAGCCTGAGTTATCATCATATGTATCATATATTTTTACTATACTTAAACTATGTACTTAGGCAGTAGAATATTTATATTATTATAATTATTGTAGTTTCGGTTTATCGGACCTGCATGGTGACGGGCGGGTACACGCAGGAGGCGGGGTGACGTCGGGATACGGGCTCGAGTTGACTCTTCGTTTGGCGGCCGACACATCGAGCACGTCTGCGGGGGCACAGCCTCCACTCTGGCCTGCCGCGTTACTACAAGCGCTCGCCAGATATATATTCACCACTGGTAAGTCACTATGTATAACGATTGAGATAGTATAGGTTAGCAAAATGTTTCTTTCTGCAGTTGCAGTTGCATATCTCTGCGTGGCGTGACTTCGGCGGCCAATAAGAGCGCCGATAAATAGTGAAATGTACGCGCTGTGATTAGTCGTCCGTATGTCTCGAACTTTCGGCACGTAGCTGTTCATTTTAATTTTTAATGTACATTTCTCCACTCTTCTTAATTTTAGGCAACAAGTTCTGTGCTGGTGACCACATAAGTTGGCACGCGGCTTTAGATGGGGAGACGCGGGGTGGGTCACGAATTCGACATCTCCTCGTAGCCGAGGATCCACAGTTGAAGGCTATCGATACCCCGCATGGAACCGTCGAGTTTTTGCAGGTAATTTGTAACTAGATATAGTTGTAATAAATGTATCTTACTTTTCATGTCCATTGCCCTTTTTATGTACCTATTGGTATCTTTTATGTATCTGCCGGAAAATCCACCGATAGTCAATATACAGGGTTGTCCGTCACAAAATTAGAGCGCTTATATCGTAAATAACATTGCTTTGTTCAATATATTTTGATAATTCAATTAATGTAAAATATTTTTGAATTCAAGCTACCAATCGATTATTAATAACTCTACGCGCTTTACGCTTTACTTTACTTTAGATTACGCCTGTACACAAGCGTAGCCTCGACTTTTTGTTTAAAAAAATACATAGAGCTGTATCACAATAGGACAATAATAAAAACTTGAAATATCATTTTAAAAGAAAAATATTTATTTATGTTTAATTTTAAAGGTCAAACGTTGTTGTTTTGGTCGGATCTAGTTCTACATTGTTGCGCTTTTTTTTTACATTTAACCTAGTATTATAAGACATTTCTTTATAAATTCGCTGATCTTTCAGTCCGTCGAGCGTACTAACGCATACTTTCGTTGATACGCGTGACTTATTCTACACTAACCTTTAAACCACAGAAAGAGATGTACCTTTCAGATGAATATAACTATAGGTTATTGATGCTGTACAAGCTACAGTTATACTTTATTGCGTAGTAATAAGGACTATATTTGTGTTAAGGTTGTGGGCTGCACTGGAAGAGAACTGAGAGCCGCACAGCGTGGATCCTGTATGGACGTGCTCAAACTTATAGGCGAAGATCCAAGGTAATATAATAATTGAAGTATTATGCTGTGTACTGACTGAGCGATCAGTCTCTCAAGGCAGCCATGTGAAATAAATCTTCAGTCAATCTACACGTCACAATATTTTGCCTTGCAAAGCTACTCATTCATTCAGTAAACGGCTATCAATAAATACCAGACACTTGGGTCAAACACTTCAAATTGTTAAATAAGGCTTGATGTGTGTCCAGCATGTGTAGCATGACAAACTCGAGAAACTCTTTGTCTAACTCTACACCCAAATGTCACTTTCTCGGGTCGAAAGTGAGATGTTGTATGAGAGCACCCGAGAAAAGTGATATTGAGTGTAGACTAAACGTTCTCAAGTTCGTCATGCTACGAGTGCAGGAGATGCCAGGATTGTGAAAGTTTGCATGTTTGAGTCCCATCTCGGTGTGTCTAGGACTGGAGAATTTTTCATTAAAGATATTTATTAATATATCATTGTGAGTACTAACATCTTAATACCAACATCTTTTTCTGGTAGACCGGCAGAGTATGCGTTTGGCATTAAGTCCGCCTTTTGTTTTAAAATGCAATAAAGAATAAAAAAATAAATGAAAATTGATCAAATGTAATAATTATCTATTGAAATAAAATTTAGTTTTTAATTAAAAATCTGTTTACTGAACCAGATTTTTAATTCGGTAATAATTTAAAATATTTTTTTTTTAATTATCAGTTGATAGCAGTTTGATATTAACTAAATTTTATTTCAATATCACTTTGTCTCTTGCACTCTAAGATGGGACTCGCCTTTCGCAAATCGGGCGACTGCTGCTGATTGCGAAAGGTCATATATTATAGTCATGTTCTGGACGTTCGTATTATTTTCTAGTGGTGCACCATACTTATATCGTATCACTTGTTCGCGGGACAAAACGTGTCGATCGCCGTAAAACTTGACTTCTCAGCTTAGATATTAGGAGCTACGTCTGTCTGACTGCGACTGCGTTAATGAAGTTACGATATTCTCGGATTACCTCCAATAGTAGGGGAGCCCACGATGCTAAATCGGGATTTACTCGAGCGTCATAGAGACCTATTGGGTTGCGAAGCTTAGATGATAACAAAAAAATAATGTTATATAGTATATACCTTTTCATCGGTGGGGGAAGCGACTATAGATTTTTAAAAATGTAAAAAAAAACTGTTGTATGGACATACTCGAGCGCGTCAGATATTAATATCATCCATGTCCTACGCATTTTTAAAAACTGTCGTATGTTAATCTGATCGTCTCCATGATGAGGGTGGTTATACGTAAGGGTTGAAAATGAAAAAGAAAAAAAATTTATCGAGCGCGTCAGATTTTTTGAGGGGATGTCAAGTGAACCTAAAAAAAGCTCTCATATAATAATCTGACGATTTGGATGTAACGCAAACGCGTGACCATTATTAGAAAATGCAAAAAAAATCGCCATTTTGAAATACTCAAGCGCGTCAGATTAAGATATATATGGTTCATCTTAATGCCCCAGACGTGATATCTCATAATCAAACTGACAAATAAATTTTTTTTTCTTAATTTTTTTCAAATTATTGAGCTTAATTAAATAGAAAAGCACCGGTGTTAGTATGCAAATAAAAAAGTGTATGTTTTTTTATGTAGAATACTTATATTTATAAGAAAATTATTATATGAAAATTTAATTTTTACAGTATTTTTTATTAATTATCATCTTAATCGCTAGAATCATCATCCTCTTCTTCTCTTAGTTAATATGTAAAAAGTGTAATTCACAAAATTTACATTAAATAACAAAATAAACAAAAACGTTGGAAATACGATGTAAACAATATCACGCCACGAACGAGTCTGTGTCATCAGCTGTCATGGCGTCATGGCAACCGAAACCAGAGTGGGGACAGAGTGAGAGAGTAATATATAGAAAAAGAGTGAGAGAGAAATAGTGATGCGGACAAGGAAATATAGGTATCACGCATTAAATCTTATCGATGAATTTTTATTACTTCGGCTTGTGAAAATCGTCAGATTATATATTTTTCGTAATCCTAGAATGATTCCCTTCAAAATAAAAAAAAATTAGTCACGCTCGAGAATGTCAGTGACGTTTTTTTTTACAACTTTGTAGCCTTCCCCCTTCTTTACGTCACTCTCAAATTGTCAGATTAGAGGTATGTACACCTTTAAGCATGTAGCTAGCTCACCTTACCTTAATCTGACGCGCTCGAGATTTTCAGATGATCAATTTTTTTTTACTAATCTGATCCTTCGTTTTATAAGGCTCATACTTGGTCCAGGTACTTAACTGGGTACAAGGTATCCCCCTGTATATTAATCTGCCGCGCTTTAGTAAATCCCGAAATCCCCGCTTCGGCTCCCCAACTACAAGGACGGTATCACAAGTGATGGGACACAACGATTATATCGAAACTTCTAAAAGTTATACCTTAAAATCTACCAATGAGTCAAATTTACTACCAATGAAAACTACCTACCAATACCAAAACTAAAACTACCAAAACTACCAATGAAACAAATGCAAAATTGATCAATATAAGAATGATTTGAAATTTTCGTTCGAGACAAATATATTAGGGTCTCAGGTGAATGTTAATTCGTACGAGTTGTGTGTATGACAAGGTGTGGGGCGGGCGGGTGGCTAGTGACGCGCGTGTCTCGTCGCGTGTCGGCGCGCGGTGTCCGCACGCGTGTGTCCGGGCCCGCTCAGCTGGCGGGCGTCACGGCCGCAGTGCGGTACCACGCTCTACCGGACAACAAACAGGTGCGTCTTTTTTGTTTATCGATTTACTAACGAATTTTATTACTATTTAAATGTTAAAAAAACTTAAAGGTAGGTAATTAACACTTCAGAAAACTTCACAATAATAGTAGTTTATGCAACTGTCATATAAGAAGGGGTATTAAAACACGAGAGTCTGTTTATCGATAATAGGTTGAACCAAGTGTTTTAATACCGAAGTTATAGGCAGTTTCATACACTACTTTTCCTCACTCATAGGAAAAATTGAAATTAAACAAAGTAGGTAGATTACAAGGAAGTAATTTTTTGGAATCCTGAATACGCGGGAAATTACCAAAACCTACAACAACCTAAAACCATAGACTAATGAATAAAAAAAAATAGCGATACAATAATGAGTTTTATGATACAGCTGGCGGTACTATAAAGAGTTTTATTTATAAATCTTATATATATGCGTTTATGATGTTCTAAATGGTGTCGGGAATAGGAGAATTAGTATTAAAATATGTTATTTATAATACAAATAAAAAGAGATGCTAAACATTTTTCATTGATCAATTAATAAACAAAACACAACTGACAATTCACGTAATTTTGTCTATGTCTATGGTTAGTTTCAAATTATCGCTAAGTTGACTGGTAATGTTTGTTTTGTGTATAAACTTAATAATTTAATATTAATTTTACAATCTTAAAACTGGTCATTCATTGACTATTACAAAGTGTTCCAGCATCTGACCTACTGAGTGATATCCTCAGTAATTCCACACACTGAAATATCACGCTTTAGAAAACTTACGCATTTTCTTCACGAGCTCCTATACTATTGGTACAGATTGATATGTTTATATTTTAAGGGGATATTTGAATATTCTCAACAGTGTGGTAGCGAGGACGCTTCAGTTTCCCCTGGACTATCACCCAGGGTAGAGCAGGAAATCAAAGAGACATTGCAGCGAGGTCTCAGCTGTATGAGCACTGACAGGAGCGGGCCTGAAGGTAAACAATACCCATATAGTGTAATGAGATGACAATTTATCAAATTATACAAAATCCATGTTTACGCAAATACTATCACACTTAACATGATGAAGTATCTATTTGTCAGTTAAACCAGTAAATTAGGAAATATGTTGGAAATGGTAACTTGTATGTAAACAATTATAATGGGGTGTGTAAAAAAATGTAATAGTACTTTTTTGTTTTACAATAAATTGAAAGTATATTTTATTTTTACAAAATTAACTTGTGGTTATAGTTGTATAGTCTGTGTATACCTATACTGATTAAAAAAACCGGCGCTGGCGGCAATGACGGAGCATCGTATGGCGTCACATTTCAATAAACCAAACGTCAACGTCTTTGATCCGAGTACAATTAGTACTCATAAATGTGTGTTTACTTAATTTGAATATTTTTATAATAATCAACAATTTAACACTTCATACATATTAATACAGAGAATAACTTCCGTTCAATTCATAATCATTTACTAATTTTATCTAAATGTTGGCAACATGTGACATCACGGCTCGTAATGCCATGTGAGTGATTGTTTTCATGTGACAATTTAAATAAATCGACAATAATATGGTTTAAATGGGAAAGGATTTGGGATACAGTAAGGAGCCCGCTGGGTCGTGGATGTGAGCGACAAGACAAACAAAGTCATTGTAACGGTTATTACTGTTAAATAAATTATCAATGTGCGCTTACCCTTATCGTGTATGTCATCATTACTTCCGCAGGTCACATGTCAACGGATAGTTTTGAAATGTCAAGTATAGAACGAGCGTTACCACGAATACCGGAAGTGATGCAGGTATTTCATTTAAAACTTTATTTTTAACCTTAATTTATAAATAGACAAAAAAAAACTGACATAACTACCGAAACTTGAGCGAATTCTGGAAATAAATATGGAGCGTTAGGGTTGCCTTTTTAATAAAATAATTTAGTAATAAAACAATATTATTATTATTTTTAAAAGATTTTTCTTGCTTTTACCTTGTTATATATATTACACAATGAAAAGTTACGAACAGTTTTGAATTCTTTATTTATAAATAGTTTTTTAAATAAACTATCGGGAAACAGGGGCAAGGGGCGTTAAAACTGATCTCATCTATTTGGTTTTTTTATTAATAAACAACTACGATAAACTGCCATAATAAAGTAACATTCTAACTTCTATCACATCTTTAATTGATATTTATGTTGACTAGATAATTTAAAAATAAGGAGTAAACTTAGTATTAGTCAAAATTCATATTGTTAAATAGAGGTTTAGCAAAGGTTAACCTAGTACGAGGCTCTACGAGAGTAATATTTACTTCTAGAAGGTAAGTAGGTTTGCTTATTTTCTGCATAATATAAATTTGAACTAATACTAATGAATTTGAACTAATAATAAAATTGAAATTTTAGCGTAAATTTACTCTGACGATAAACCTTGTTTGTTAATAACACTAAGTGATTACACGATTTTTGAGGTAGTCAATGTCGAAGTAAGGGTATGTATAAAGCAATATTGTCCTATGTCTATTCCAGGGGTCATGGCGGGGCGAGGAGGAGGTAGAATTCTATCCCGGAGTACATTTGATAATGAATGCTGAAGGAGCGAGCTTGTTACCTTTAGCCATAGAGTGAGTTTCAATAATTATTTGCGTAATTTTGGAATCGAAAGCCGTTGGGAGTGCTTCATTTTACTGTTTGATTCTCTAATCTAACATTATCCATTGAATAAGTAAAACTTAACCTACTGGTTGCCGCGATATTCTTTCTCTTTTTAACACTTTTACATTTATAAGCAACAATGTGTTTTAAGAAATTCAAAAAAGAAGAAAAGACAAAAAAAAACCAACTTCTAACTTTAAAAAAGTGAAAAATAATACTTATCTAAAAAGATACTTATTCAGGAAAATACTATTAAAGCCGGGCGCCTATAAATTACAGAAAACCGTCTGACTTTAATAGACTTCAATAAGTCGCTTTTGAGATAAGTATGATTTTTCTAATTTTTTAAAGTTTGAAGACGGTTTTATTTTTTAAAAATTAATTTTTAGATTTTAACTTATTATATGAATGATATATTACATATTTTTACGGTATTTTTAATACTCTGTATATATACATATTTCATGTACATCTATGAAATAAAAATATTAATAAAAATGTTTTGTGAAACGTGCAGATAAGCTATTAATAAAAGAAGAAGTTTTATGTCAAGTGATTATTTTGTTTCAATACGTTGTATACAGTGGTCGAGTGTTGCACGGTCGTCATTTCACCTGGCGTTATGGTTCGCGCGCGGTCACGTTACTGCCGACGGGCGTGTGCGGCGCCGCCACCACTGTACACCAACCGTACGCCGCCAGGGGACTGTGGATGCAGGTCACTATCACGAATAAAATTAATAAAAAAAAATGATAATGCTAGGAACACTTCATTTTCCAGTCTTACTCGAATTTGACCGGTTCATAACCGGTTATAAACCGGTCTAGTATATACCGGTCGGATGGTAGGAATTCATTTGCCAGGCCGACTCGAATTTGACGGGTTCATAACCGGTTATAAACCGGTCTAGTGTATACCGGTCGGACTCGCGTACGAGACGTTCCGTATCATCACGTTTTTTGTATGCGAGCCCCTTTAGATATTAATTTTATTCTGTTTTTTAGCAGCAACAGTTATACATCATCTATGGAAATTTTAACTGTCTAACGGTGAGTTGCACAAACGTCCATTAAGGATTAATGACGCCTTTAAGCCACAGTGTAAATATAAGTAGACAGTGGTGAAACTGCCTACAAGCGTTCGAAATCGCACGCACACATAAACACGCTCACCGACAAGCCGCCTAAGTGGACCTAACAGGACGCTCAGTAACGCGTAGCGCGTCGAGATGAGGGGTCACGTTATACGTTCCGCGATCGTTTTTATTTAAAAAATGAAGGAAAGATTAAGGAAAGGCGTAGGCTTATATGAAATAAAAAATAAGATTTTTGTATGATCTGGAAATATATTTTAACCGCCCAGTTTTCGCATATGTTATTTCTATATCATGTGGTGATAATAGAATAATATAAGTAGATATCACCGTCTGAACAAATGTGTATATATATTGTTTGTTTGTTAATTAGTTATTACAATTCGATGACATTATCAATCAATAATGTCAGAACTCCTTTTATATTTTGTAAAAGAAACATTCAAAACGACAACCCTATGGTTTCAATGGAGCGTAGGTATTTATTTTATCAAATAGGCTTAGTTTCTATACTGTGTCATTCTTATACTGTGTTTAAGCTCTAATGAATGTCAAAGTTGTATGGGTAATGTCGCTTATACTAATGTGAATTTTAATGGACGTTTGTGCAACTGACTGTATGATTGGTTTTAGTGTATGCGGACCGTCCGCGCTGACGACAATGCGCGTAGCTATCGGCGTATGCTTTAGTGTCGTGTTGATCGTTACCAAGTACTCCGAAACTCTGGACCGATTTTAATCAAACACGTGTTTCTGTAATTTGGTCTATCTAAAAGATAAAATTCCAATTTATTTATTCAACACAGATATAGGATAATTAGTAAAAAAAACAAACATACGTAAGAAAAGAAATTAATACTGACCCTTGCCTGTGTTAATCTATATCATATAATACAATAGTGTTTTCCTAGAATAAGCAAAAAAGGGACAGTGAGCTTAAGTCTTATGTGAGCCTTGAAAGTAATTTATTACGTTTTAAGCCTATCTCACCGGCGTACAATATGAAGTTGATTCATTAATTTCAGCGCTCAAAAAATTATTTTTTTCCTCTTTATAATATCAATTTAGATTAATCCAAAACAATTTTAATTTTCAGATTTTAATACCAAACCCGTTAGCTTTTGACATGTCAAAGAAAGTGGCGAAATTTTCAAGCCTCGCCGAAACAGATTCCGAGTCGGACAGCGGCGACGAGAAGCAAAAGAATGAACCAATACTGCTTCCTCTCACTCTCTCCTGGCCGGAATACAACTTTAAAATTACTATTGTACAAGACTTGGACGTTTTATTATAACAAAAGTTGTTCAATAACTATGTTTATTAAATTATGATGGAAATAAAATATTGAAATATATTATTATTATATGGTATGGAACCTACAATTTTATGGCGGGGCCACAATAAGGAAATGTCGATAATTATCGCCATGAGCTCATGGCTCACACTTTGCAATAATCTATTATTTTATACGGTCAATACGCGGTACACAGTAATTAGACTGATATTAATTGACCAAAGACCTTTTCAATGATCAAAACTGTACCTAGACATAAAATGAGGATTGATTTGAATGGAGTTTTATTTCTAATATATTTTTCTGTTGCTCCACTCCTAAAAGTTGTAGCGTGATGTAATAGCCAGGGTATCTGCAAAAGGAGGGACGTAAAAGAGGGCCAGGATGGTCTGGGAAAGTTAGGCAAAAATTAGGTCTAGCGTGAAACCAGGGAAAAGATATGAAATTTTGTAAAAAAAAATATTTTAACAATAATTTTAAATCTCCCCAATTAGTCTTATACAAATACCAACTTTCAGTATGGAGATCAAACATTAAAACATAACAGCTATTTTTTTATTATGAGGGTATATTTCCTTGTTAATATATGAATTAATCCAACGTCAATTTCTTTCGGATTATTAGTAAAAAAATAAAATTTCTTTAATTTCTCAATGGCATGATAAGCAAAATACATATAAAGTGACTTCTACGTATTTTCACGCTGTTACTTATGTGACTTCCATGAAATACATAAATTTTCCTAATATTATATTTGGAAACAAATTTTTATAAAAACACTGACAATAAATCTTTAAAAATATTTGTAAAAAATCAATAATATTAACAATGAAATACGACTTCAATCGATATTACTATATTGCGTTAAGTATATTTTGTTTTGAATCCAATGAAAATTTCCATGGGAATATTGCATACCAATAGCCTTATAATTATATATGAAGCAAAAATATAACACGAAATATATGCAGCAAACTTTGAATTAAACACATATTCTACTAAATATCATTAAACAACACTCAGAAATACTTTAAATAAAAGTTTTATCATATTAAACTACTACTGCTACAAAAAAAAGTAAAAAATTAAGTTGAATAAAAATGACTATTTCCTGTAAATTTTTTTTGTTGGATTTTAGTTTTTTTTTTAAGCAAAAATAAATAAAACCAAAATTTGTGAAAAAAGTAATGTTAGTAATTTTGTGTGAAGAAAATGAAGGTTATTTGTCTTGATGTTTTTTTGATACCTTCCGTAGCTAAAATGAGATGGATTCTTAAATATAGTCTCTTGTAATTGGCTCACAAACTTGATTAAAAATATTCCAGGCTTATATCGAATTATTTCCGTTTATCTCGTATTTGTATCAGGCTAAAATTTGATCTTTGATTTCGTAGTATGTTCACGATTCAGTCTATAATTTGTGGCTTAGCTCCATGTCTTTTAAGAGCCTCCTCAATGCTGGTGAAGTTAGTTCTATCGAAGGCGCGTTCAATGTCAATGAAAGTGTCAGAGAGAGGTCTGCTAATGAACGCACCGTGCGATTTTGGTTTAAATGGAAGCCACGATTTCATCATCCTCCGTATTCGCCAGACCTTGCTTCAACGGACTACAATTTTTTCGTGATTGGGACAATTATCTACGTGACAAGAAGTTTCCTTCATAGGAGGCAGTACAATATGCTTTCACACATTTTGTGCAGTCTAGATCCTCAGAGTTTTATCGCAAAGGCATAAATGACCTTCCTATTAGATGGCAGCAATGTAATGATAATAATGATAACTATTTTGATTAAATAAATTAGTTAGAATTAAAAAATAAACAATTTTGATTTTCAGTACAAATCGCAATTTCATACTTTAACACCTGTAAAAAGTGTTCAGGCTTTAGTTTATGTAAATTATTGCTAACGCGTAAGCATAGAGCATTGTCTGATATTTTTAATGTTTGCATTGTCCCGTCTTAATATTAATGCTTTGCTATACTGAAAGTATACGTCGAATTTTTAATTCAATTATTCTGAATTCCTTAGCCACACTGGTAAAACGCTAGCTTTGGGACATCCATCATCATATATCCATTTTTTGTTGTCGTTATTCATTAATACCTGGTTTCCAAATTGAGAATTTAAAGTTAAGCACGTTCTCAAACCGTGCTTAAATAAGTTTTCGTTTACTTCAACTAAGACGTTTGTCTGAGCTGACTCTTCCTTCTTTCCAGTCGGGAGTATTGGTAAGTTATTAATAAGTTGAAATGAATAAAATGCATAGTTTTCCATATCAATAATTTATTTACTAGGGGTTTGAAATGTCAATCTTTTTTTTCAATACAATATTCAATTTGCTTATTGTTTCATTTTATGTCTCATAGAAACGTTAACTATTTAAGACCTTCAGAATTGCTATCTGTATGGAAATAAAATAATATTAGTTTTATTTTTTATATAGGCTGATTTCTTAATCATTGTGTAACGATGGTCAGAGAATTCCTCCGGATTAAAAAAGCCGGGTCTTTAGTCGTTTGTTAGTCATTGAATATTTTCTAAGCAAAAAGTACTAACACATTAAACATACATTAAAAACTTTATGAATATTATTATTTAATGAACGTTTGACGAAAAAATAATTTTTCGTCAAACGTTCATTATAGTAGTAGTTCATTAAACGTTCATTATATTCACTATAGTAGTGGTAGCAAGAGGGAGTACTCTCACCGCTACTATGGAACCTGGTGGTCAACGACCTGATTACCCACCTGAACGCTAGTCATTTCTACACCATAGGGTATGCCGATGACATTACAATACTAATTCCAGGCACCCATGCTGGTATAACCTGCAACATCATGCAAGCAGCCTTGAAAAAAGTCGAACGCTGGTGTGAACAATACGACCTGGCCGTGAACCCAGCAAAAACGGAACTGGTAATGTTTACAACCAAACGCAAAGTAGGCACGTACTGCCTACCGAAGCTATTCGGCCCCAAAATATAGCTGTCCAAGAAGTTAAAGTACCTAGATGTAATTCTCGATAGTAAACTAAACTGGAACAACCACAGAGAACAAAAAAATCAAGACTGCTAGCGTTGTTTTGTGGCAATGCCGCTGGATGATCGGGAAGCGCTGGAGACTTGCGCCAAAATCATTCTTGTGGCTATTATACATCACAGTCATAAGACCGATGGTAAGTTATGGTGCCATCGTATGGTGGCCAAAAACTACTCAGTCTATATGTGAAAACACACTATAAAGCTTTCAGCGGCAGACATGCTGCGCCCTAACAGGATGCATGAGCACGGCTCCCATGGCAGCTTTGGACGTAACGTTAAATATTACACCGCTACACATCTACATTAGACAGGAAGTGGCAAAGACAGCATTGAGACTAAAAAACTACAAACTGGTAAGGTTCGAGACCATGAAACATCTCAATGGGTTACTGAAGGAATGACTCAACACCCCACTTGTAGAAACGGCGTGTAACAGGATCGAACCCGCCTTCATTTTCGATAACAAATACAAGATACATCTTATGGACACTGACAATCCAAAGGTAACTCACAAGGCCCTCACAGTTCTCACGGATGACTCCAAAACCGCATCAGGAGCAGACGCCAGAGTATTCTCCGAGGACCTTAACATACACCTCTTCCTGCCTCTCAGCTCATACAATACAGTCTTTGGGGCTGTCCATTAATCACGTGAGGCTCGAAAGGGGGGGGGAGGGGTCCATAAAAAAGTCACGATATATCACAAGGGGGGAGGGGGGATGAAGTAACATATCACGTGTATTTATTTTTTCGACAAATGCGCGATACTCAACCGAAAAGCGGCGTAAATAAGTGTAATAAAATTATTTTTTCGTCAAACGTTCATTAAATAATAATATTCATAAAGTTTTTCGCATTCCTTTCATTATATTTGTCAATCAAAAACAACCTGCAAATCGTGTAATCTTTCTTCTAAATCGTGTCTACCTCTAGACATTATTGTACTCTTTAATTGTCTATAATACAATTACAAAATTAAGATTCATTGTAAGTACTAAAAATACACGTGATATATGGGGAGGGGGGGGGGGTAGTCTTAAACCTCACCATGTATCACTATGGGGGAGGGGAGGTTAAAAAATGCCAAAAAAAACATCACGTGATTAATGGACGGCCCCTTTCGGGCTGAGTGTACAGCGATTACTATAGCGGCGAGAACGAAAACAACAAGGAAGGTAACAGGATCAATAATCCAGATCAACTCGGACAGTAAATCCGTTTTATAAGCTCTCAAAGGCAGCTCTGTCAGACAGAGTCTTCTATATGAGTGTCACCAGGTTCTAAACATGGTAGGATCACAGAATACAATCACTATCAAATGGATAAAAGGACACAGTCGATCACGTGGGAACGATGCAGCTAATGAACTGGCACGCAGGGGATCGGACGCAACGCCAATGGCTATAGTAGTGGTAGCAAGAGGGAGAGACCTGTAGGCAGGCAAAACTCGCACTATTCTGAGTAAACGCTCATCTCTCCAAGGCCCTCCCACAGCTAAGTAAACCATTATTGCGCCTAACAGGTGCTATCACTGATCGTGGCAACTTTAACAGGCACCCTTTCAATCAAGGTGTCACTGACAGCCATTTGTGCAGAGGATGCATGAGGGTAGAAGAAACAGCCGCTCACGTCTTGCTGGAATGCAACGGAGTGGCCAAATACTGGGCAAAGCACCTCGGCTAGACCGGTAACCTCCAGGAGACCATCGCAGACGTAAAGGCGCTAGGAGCGTTTTTGGCAGAGCTGGGCTGGCTGGAGTAGTATCCGGCCATACACCCTCCAAACGCAAAACAGACGCAATTTTGACATCGAGTTGCGGAGACGCCCGTTGAAAGAAGAAGAAGAAAACAGCAATTTCATACCTTAACCCCTAATATTAGTATAGATATTGATTTTTGCTTTTAACTGTGATCAGCATATATAATGCTGATATTATATGAAAGTTCATTAGTATTT